ATACACAATACTATACATGTATACAATACACAATACTATACATGTATTGTATACAATACATGTATACAGTACTATACATGTATAGTATTGTATACATGTATAGTATTGTATACATGTATAGTATAGTATTATAAACTGCAGATTGAGTGATTAGTAAAAGAAACCGCAGTGCCTGACTGGTTTTGATCAGTCTTCTGTCTTAGTCATAAAATGTTTCCTCGTCAGCTCAGCTGTCCTTCTTGTTCTTCCTCCTCAGACTTCGGAGTTGGGAGTAACGGAACATGTTGAAGGAGACCCATGTAAGTTTGCTTTATGGGTGGGACGCACACCAACCAACGACAACAAGATTGTGCTCAAGGTAAAAACTAAAAACAATAATTGTTCTTTCTTTTTTTAGCTTTCTTCAGGGTTGGACTAATTGTTTTGTTTCTTTAAGGAAGTGCACTGAAATTGTGAAGATGAAACATTTAATATTTATAGTTTAGATGTTTCACTGTTTTCTTTTTAGACAAAAAAAGAGAAAAGGCTCTGCCATAACTTTATGACCACCGAACTCTGATCAACGGTCTCTTTTCAAACCTGTTGTGGTATTTGCACTAAACATCTGTGGCTGATCCACAACGTCCTGGACATCATGAGATGGGGTCTCAGTGGACTTACAGGATGTCTGGGATATTTTGGAGAAAGGTTTTGAAGAATTAATATCGTACTTGTAGATCGCTTATTGAACTCCCTCGTTTTAAATCGATTTTAATCTCCCCTGGTTTTACAGGCTGGTTTGAGTGGGACCAAAACGAAGTAGATATCTGCTGTCCTAAAACAGCTCCATGCAAAAAAAGTCACAGCACTTCATGCAAATTCTTTGGTTCACCATATGTTTTGCATTGCATATTTATTTACAAAGAATTTAATGGTTATTATGTTTGTGCAAACAGCTGCAGCAGCTAGCTGTAGCACTTCAGCACTGCAGGAACTTCATTATATTTCTTCCAGAATAACTTTGTAATACAAAACAGACAACAGAGTAAAACAGTGTTTGTATGAAACGTTATGAAATATTTTACATTAAAGTTATTTAAAACCTCATCAGCTCACCTTGGTCTTGGCCCCGCTCAGACTAGCCATTATCTAAACTGTTTTTTTCCATAACTGAGGTTCTTTCAAAGAGCTATCTACGACAGGCAAGATATCAGTTGTTCGTAACATCAAAAATCTGAACTATTGCTTTAATTTTGTCCAGCTCACGCCACGTGTTCAAACAGGCTGAGAGCGAGGTCCGCCTGTCAGTGGTCATAATGTTATGGCTTGTGTTTTGGATCATTTCATAAAACAAACATATTTTTTGTTGTGCTTAACTCTGATCAAACTCCAAACAGGGACAAAGTGCCTGTAGTTGATAAATGTATCTGAGAACATCTGTATCAGTCTAATCCAGATGTTTTTCTCCTCTTACTCTTAACTTTCCTTCCTTCATCTTCCTCTTAATCTCTTGTGTCTCATTTGAATTCATGAGCTGCAAAGCTTTCTCCAGGCACCCTTCTGTCCTCTTGTCCCCTGTCCTCTGTCGGCCTGTGTCCTCCGGTCAGATTGTGCTTTGTTCCATCTGTTAAACACGGACACATCTGTATATCTGGGGCTGTGTTTTCTGTGGATGTTTGTATATCGAACTCTATGTGGGCTGAAATGCTTGCACCAACGCTGGTGACGCTCTGTGAGTTCATGAACGCCCACAGACCCCCTCCATCCTGGCCCCGTGCCACTTTAGCCTTTCTCTACCAGAGAAACGAGTTTCGAGCGATTCGAACAAATCAGAACGAGATGTGTGTTTTCTGTTGAACTCACAGATGGATTCAAGGTTTGTCAACCGTTGGAACAGCATGAAGCCAAGATCCGAACACATCAACACCGAGTGTTGCAGCTCCCTTTTATACATGTTGACTACTAAACTAACCACTGAGAAGCACTCATGCATTACGTGCATTGTAATTGTGTCTCATTACTAACTCCACATGTACGCACACACATAAACACACTCTCCATTACAACCTGCTACACGTTTAATTGGCCATCGTTACTCTGTCAAGGCAAATTATCAGTGTTGTTATCACGTCTAACCGTTCATTTTTTCTGTCCGAGTATAAAAATGTCTCGCTCATCCTAAGGCCAAACCAGTGAAATTCTCTATTTTATATCTTAAATTCAAAGCTAAGTCAGGGATCCAAACATGGAGCAACGGTGAGTACAAACTGTTCCACAACACAGCCCTCAAACCGTTTCACACAAGTCTGAACCTCCCAGTGTGTGGGCTTCTTATCGCTGCTCCTTGATTAGTTTGTCTCTACAACGATTTCACACTCAAACTCCGAGTTGTTGCTGGAGAACTCGGAGGCTGTGATCTCCAAACAGAAACCTCTAAACGCAGAGGAAAATGTGCAGCGCCTCTACCAGACATGAGACGGGGAACAGTTCTATTTAAATGTCTGTAAATGCAGGTTAATTTAGCTTCAAGGTTTAACTATTTTCACAAAGTTTAAGATTTCTGAAGAAATTTTGAAAGGTGTCAATACAACCGCCAAATATCCCCCCCCCCAATTTTTTTTTACAAAAACTTGTACAGTAGTCCCTCGCTACTTCGTGGTTCGTTTATCGCAGACTCGCTCTATTGCGGTTTTTCAAAATAAGATGGACATGACACACAATTGGCTGATTGACGGATGAGTCGCACGATCGGCATGAAATTTTTATTTAAAATAAATTATTTTAAAATATTTAGCATCTGCTGCGCATTTGTCCAACCCATACTGCAGGATAAACTTTCTGCTGCTGCTGATCGGCTGTTCTCCATGCAAAGTGAAGAAGTGGGCATGGCCAAGAGCGCTTGCAGGTGGCAAAGAGCAGAGGAGGCAGAGAGCTGACATCATGACAATTTGTGCTCTTTTAGAGTGTTTAGATTTTAGAAACATCCATCCACTATATTTTACCCACTTCTTCCATTTTGGGTCACGGGGGTCACCGGTGCCCATATGCAGCAATCACTGTGCGAGGGGCGGGGGACACCCTGGACAGGTCTCCAGTCCATCACAAGGACACATAGAGACAAACGAGACAAACAAACATTCACTCTCTCACTCACACCTAGAGACAATTTAGTGTTACCAGTCAGCCTAACATGCATGAATCCATAAATAAGTCACTTGGGTGTATAAGTCGCAGGACATGCAGATTATGAAAAAAAAAAAACGACTTATACAGCGAAAAATATAGTACACGTTAAATGTGGTCTACACGTTTGTGCCCGGGGAGACTTTTGTCTTTTTACAAATTCTTAAACAAAAGATCTTCAGTAAAATCAAGAAAGCGAGCCTTGTCTGAGAACTTTTTATTTTGTTCGTGGGTGTCTAGCTTCACAGTCACGTTGTGAGGACACGATAGCCACACTAACGTTAACTTGCTAACTTGAGAGGCATGTACCGAATGACAAGCAGATTGGAGGATTGAAGAGAATTTATTATTGTTGATTTATTTCATAAAGATCAGTTAAAATAAACTTACCATGCTTTGTTCAGAAAAACACTCAATTCAGTTCAGTTCAGTTTATTTATGTAGCGCCAAATCACAACAAAGTTGTCTCAGTAAAATACTCAACACAGTATTGCTCTCTGCTTCATCTGTGCTGAACGCCAAAAGTGAAACTTAAGTCCATGACTTGAAAGTAGTCTTCATGTGCCCCCTGCTGGATACATTGTACAATTACAGCTGGTTGAAAATTAGAAGTGTTTATATCAGCCAATAATGGGACCATTATCGCTGATACCAATAGGACCCCAAACATTTATATTGGCCTAAAATATCAGCACTGCCGATAATTTAGTCGGGCTCTAACGAAAGCTGACAAAGTTCTTCCATTTTGATGTATAACCTGTAAAGGCTACCACCAATTCTGTAAGAACCAAGAACATTTTATTTCTCCGTGGGCTGCAACAAAGTATTTTTCTCTCTCTCTTGCAGCTCATTCTCAACATATCACTTTTCTGGTGTGGTGTCTGACAACTGTTGTGAGCTTGGACAGAAATTTAAAGTTGGTGCAGAAATAATGACGTGCCAGCTACAAGGACTTCCCAGTGTTGTGGCAAAAACATAGCGGGAAGACTCGGCATGTTGATGTTTAAACTATTTATCACAAAAGAAACATCCCATCGTAGAGTCTGTCTGATGTAGGATTGTCAGAAAGCTCGTCAGTAAGACACATTACTGATGTCTTTGTATCTAGAATGCTTAGAGGGCAGACCCCACGTTAAACTGTGTGTAGGTATACAAGACAGTCCTGTGACACACAACGAGCACATCAGCCTCGCAGCAGAACGCGGCTGATCCTCAGAAGTTCATTAAAGGGGGCGTTTCAGACTTGTGTGAAACAGAATGAAGCATGATTTACAAAAGATCTTTTTTTTATTATTTAATTTTGTTTTCTGCCTCCCATTTTGTCTCCTGTTGAATTGTTCTTGTCTCGCTCTTTTTTTTTTTTTTACAGGCGTCCAATATAGAGAACAAACAGGACTGGATAAAGCACGTCAGGGAGGTGATCCAGGAGCGCACCATTCACCTGAGAGGGGCGCTCAAAGAGCCCATTCACATTCCCAAAGCAACTACAGCCAAGCACCACAAGGGTCGAAGGTAAGACCGCTCGCTCGTACCAGGAGTGTGTTGGGAAAACCAAACGTTTGTTCGGAGCATGAACAGATGATGTGTGCTCTTCTTAGGGATGGAGAGGACCTGGACAGTCAGGGTGAAGGCAGCAGCCAACCGGACACCATCTCTCTGGCGTCTCGCACCTCTCAGAACACACTGGACAGCGACAAAGTGAGAACACGTTTACAGAAGTTGCAGTAGAACGTCTGCGGGAGTGTTGTGCATCACGTGGGAACATGTCGTTTCCTCCGCAGCTCTCCGGCGGCTGCGAGCTGACTGTAGTGATTCATGACTTCATGGCCAGCAATAGCAATGAGCTGACAGTGAGGCGCGGCCAGACGGTGGAGGTTCTGGAGCGGTGTCATGACAAGCCCGACTGGTGCCTGGTCAGGACGACGGACCGCTCGCCAGCCCAGGAGGGCTTGGTTCTCTGTTCCATGCTCTGCATCGCCCACTCCAGGTCTTCCATGGAGATGGAGGGCATCTTCAATCACAAAGGTGATTAACACTTTATTCTCTCCTAAGAAATATGAACATGCTAACGTTCGGGCTAATGACTATTAAGGTAGTTGACTTGGTTATTTAATTTTATTTATTTTTATTAGTTGGTTAGTCAACGATTATTTCAGCTCATCTGTGCTTCCTATGGGTGCCTCACCTGCTCCTGTCTGCCCACTGGTGTCTCTGCAATAACGTTTTATAGCATTTCACTGCTAATTAAGTGAAATTGAGCAGATTTGAAAATATATATTTATCTTTTCATGTAACCATCACACAAAATGTAACTCAAGAAACACTAAGAGTTAATGTGCTGGTAGTTTTTGTTGTTTTAAATAAAAAAGTGTGTCACCCACGGATGGAGGAAGTTCAACAATTTAAATCTTTCTTCAGAATCGATCAACAATATGAATGGACATGACACACAATTGGCTGATTGATGGATGAGCTGCACGATCAGCATGAAATTTTTATTTAAAATGAATTATTTTAAATTATTTAGCACCTATTGCAGCTGATCAGCTGATTTCCTTGCAGAGTAGAGAAGTGGGCGTGGCCAAGAGCCACGCCCACTAGGTGTAGGTGGTGAGGCAGAGAGCAGAGTTCATGATATTCTGTGCTCTTTTAGAGCGTTTAGAGTTTAGAAACATTGTTTAGCATATTGCAAGAGTGTGGGAAGGGTTTAAAACACCTATATATATATATATATATATATATATATATATATACACACACACATCCTAAAATAAACTACTACTTGTACTACTATTCCTACTTCGTGGTTTTTCACTTATTGTGGGGCTTCGGGGTACAGATCCACAGTGATAAATGAGGGACTACTGTACTTCAAATTAAATATGTAATGGACTAAATATCTTTCAGATAAAGAAATTAAATGGAGGTTTGCAACTCTGATTAGCGCTCTGTTCTTTTTCTTGCGTGTGTAGTAATAAAACGATTCAGCTACTCTTGTTTACTCCCAACATTAGCTAACATAACTGTAACTAGAGGAATTGTATTTCCTGCGACAAGGCAGTGTGAATGCTTACTGCAGAAGAACTTGCTGAAAAACAGCTGAAATGTAGCTGAAGTACAAGAACAATCCAAAATTAGCAGAATAAAGCAGAAATAACACATATTTGCTGAATTAGGTTTAAATAAGCAGAAATGTGCACAAAAATTAAAAAGTTACTAAAGAAGTTTAAATTAGCAAAAAATAGCTTAATAGTAGCTGAACAGACGGAAAGAAGCTTGAATTACCAGAAGGAGGTGGAAAGAGCTGAAATGAGCTAAAATATGTGGAATTGGCTGAAAAAGCTGAAATTAGCATTAAAAAAGCTAAATAGTAGCTGAAATAGCAAAAAAGCAAAAGCTAGCAGACAAAAGCTAAAAGCATAACCAGCTGAAATTAACAGAAATAATTTAATTAGGTTGAAAGTATCAGAAATTACATTGAAAAACTTGCATTTTTCTGAAAAGAGCTTAAATTAGCTAAACAAAATGTAAAAATGTATCTGAAAAGCTAGAACAAGCTTCAGTAAGAAATTGAAAGCAGAAAGAACATGTTTGCCCAATTAGGATGAATGAAGCTGAACAAATGAGCACAAAAAGTAGAAACTATCTGAACAAAGCTGAAATTGGCAAAAGGTAGCTAAAAAAAGCAGAAGGAAATTACAAGAAGGAAGTGGAGAGAGCACATTTTTGCTGAATTAGTCTGAAAAAGTTTAAACGAATGCAAAATATTTGGAATTAGCTGAAAAAGCTTAAATTAGCATAAAAACAACTAAAGAGTAGCTGAAAAGTAGAAAAAGCGGAAACTTGTAGAAATAAGCTGAAAGGAGCATAACAAGCTGAAAATAGTAGAACAAAGTTAGAAGAAACACAAAAATGTTGTAATTAGCAGAAAGAATTTGAAAGGAGCACAAAAAGCTGAAATTAGCTGAGAGTAACTGAAAACAATGTTTAGATTTGCTGAAAGAAGCTGAAGCAGAACAAAATGTGAAAGGAGCAGTAAAAGGTTGTAAACACATCTAAAGATTAGAAGGATGGAAAATTAGCTCAATTTGTTTTCTGTGAGAAAAAATGGCAGAAAAGGCTAAATATTTAAAAAAGCTAAAGTTGCACCAATACCAAAAGTCACAGGAGGATTGTCCTGAATGAGCTGAACATTTTGATTCATGATTTGTTGAAATAGTTTGAAAATTGCGGGATGAGAATCGCTCTGAAAAACGTACGGAAGAAAAATGGATGACAGTAGTGTGAATACTTGATAAACATTCACACTTTGAAGTTTACTGATTGTTTATGTGATCTTATTTGCATGTTTCTCCAATCAGCATTAGCTTTTCTTGCTCAAGCGTACCTGGAGTTGGTGTCGCAGCTCCAGAGTTGCTTCAGATTCTCCTGCGGTGCAGAGAACGCGCTGCAGTCTGTGCTGAACTTGTTTCGGTGGAATGCTTCCACACATTTGAACGTTTCTGTCTCCGTTTGTTTTCCATCTTCCTCCTCCATCGGTCTGGCTGCAGCTCTGTACTCCATGTTCTGTTTTGTCAGCAGGGCTGGCAGCAGTCGACAGACACATTACTGCCCCCAGGTGTTCCTGTAGTGCACTGCAGCTACAACAACTCGTGGTTCTCTATGACTGGTGTTGATTTTGTCCATGAATCACTGCAGCCCTGGTTAACTTTGATGCTTTTGTTAAATCTCCATCACAAAGCGTTAAGTCGTTACTCTGGTCCTTCACAGACACTTTGTCAGTGTGCAGCAATGACTCCATTATGCCAGGTTCTTCTGCTACGCTCCAGCCGGGCCATGGTATCGGCTCTCACAGCTCACCGGGGCCGAAACGACCAGGTAGGGTCATGTGAGCCCTTAAACCACTAAGAAGTCTAGAAGGAGACCGATTGATTTTTACTGTGCTTTCTAGGTAACACGCTTCGTAAGTGGCTCACCAGCCCGGTGCGCCGGCTGAGCAGCGGCAAGGCAGACGGCCACGTAAAGAAGCTCGCCCAGAAGCATAAGAAGAGCCGTGAGGTGAGGAAGAGCGGGGAGATGACGATGGGCTTCCAGAAAGACTCTGACGACAGCGCCGCAACTCCTCAAGACGAAACTCTGGAGGAGGTGGGCGAGCGCTTTTTATCTTTACACGTGGTTCAAACGAAATGATCCCCGGTTCATCTGTCGTCACCCTGGTGCGTTGCAGAGGGTTCGTAACGAGGGCCTGTCCAGTGGTACGTTGTCCAAGTCCAGTTCCTCAGGCATGCAGAGCTGCGGAGAGGAAGAGGGCGAGGAGGGTGCTGACTCCGTACCGCTGCCTCCACCCATGGCCATCCAGCAGCACAGCCTGCTGCAGCCGGACTCACAGGACGACAAGGTGAGGGCCGTTAGGATGGCACGGAGAAAAGTGTTCGACAACAACGATGAACAGGCGAGGAGGAAGTCTGATCTGGGACCAAGGCGTAAACCGTCAGTCGTGCTCAACAGTTTCATTTAGAGATAAATTCGTCAAACATAATGAAGCATTCGCTGATACGGGGCGGTGCTGCTCAGGTGTGGCTGGGACCAGCTGTATGTGCTGGGGTTCACAGCCTACGGCTCTGGAGCCACATGTGGCTCTGTGACCACTCTGCAGCGACTCCTTGTAACTTTTACCAGAGTTGACATCAACCTGAGTGGTCTAGTTATCAATATCTACACAGCCTAATGTTTGAGTTCAAATAAGTAACAGGACAGGAAAGTTTGGGCAGTTTTCCTACTGTACGGTAGCTCATATCACTTGTTTAAACTGCTTCCTATCATTTCAGCACCAGAAATAGCAACCAACTTAGTTTTCTCTAAAACTAGTTTAAATTAAATTACACAATTATCTGTTACTGTTAACGGTTCTATCATTTGTTAAAGCAACTTCTTGAAGCACAGTGTGATGGTGCGACAGACCCACCAAAACAATAAAACTGTCCAGCCTTCTTGACCTCAGTAGTTTAGCACGTTCACTGAACATTAAAGGATGTTTAATCAAATTACAGCTTTGTAGTTATGAAGCAGACGGACGCTTGTCCTGAGCCTGGTTCTGCTGAAGGTTTCTTCCTCATGAGGGAGTTTTTTCTTTCCACTGAAGATGAGAGTTCTGTGATGGAGTTAAACTCAAAGCAGTCTGCTCCTCACATAAATAATAACAACTTATTATTTTTATATATGAATTTTTCTGTTCAGTGCCCTGTCATGACTTCTCTTGTGACTTGGTGCTATTTAAATAAACTGAATTGAAAAGGAGTAAAATAAGACCTGTCGCCAATGAAAGTACTATATTTTAAGCAGTTTAGAACATGAAGTTGAAACTCGATGCTTTAAGTGGCCTACTTGTCATTTTCCACACATATGGGAAGGACTTTTGCACCAGTCTGTTCGTTTAATTTTCACCCAAAATAAGTCCAGGGATGCAATGTGATTTCTTTTTTTTTGTTTTGCTGGTTTGATTAAAGGTTTGCAGCGGAGACATTTTTCTTTTCATACAAACATGTCCTTGAGAAAACTCCATGATTTTTACATCAACCTAATAAAGAATATATTCTTTTTAATTGGATGAACTCTGCTACATGGTACATAAATTGGAAAAGCTGTGCCAAAATGTTTGTGTTGATGTCTAGGTGGGTTGCAAAAGTATTCACCGCTTGGGCATTTTTCCTCATTCTTTGTCTTACTACGGGAAATTAAAAATAAACTGAGGGGCGTTTGTATCTATTGATTTTTATATCGTTAATACTTTTACAATTTGAATTTGTCTATATTATATTTCTCTCGTTTCTTTAACTTTGACCAGTTTCCCAGTTTCTACTGATGAAAAACATCCCCTCAGCATGAAGCTGCCACCACCGTGCTTCATTGTAGGAATGGTGTTCTCATCATAATGAGGTGTCAAGTTTGAACCAGACATTTTTGTCTTTAACCTTTTTTGGATTAACCAAACATGGTGTTGTCTCTCCCTCAAAAATATCTAAGTAATGTATTTTTCCTTCCACTCTGCCATGAAGCTCAGCTCTCGTACAAACAGATACTTTTGTTTATGTAAAAGAGCCACTCGACTCCATAGGGGTTACTTTATGGCCTTTCTGACCACTGTGGAGAGTTCCTTGGTCTTCATGCTGGCACTTTTCTTGGTGGTAGCTCTTACTACTTAGAGCTGTTGATTCTTGGAGCCATCAGAGCAGGTTAGAGATATATAGAATGATTGTAAGGATGAGAGATTTTATTTGACTGATAATGACCCCTTTTTAAAAAAATCTATCAGCCGTGCCTCTACGTACTAAATACATTACCAAGTAGGAAACTTGAGCTGCAGCAGCTGCTACAACCAGCTCACTGTAGACAACAATTTAGTTATTTTAAGTGATTGTATCCTGTCACAGTGTTAGGGAATTTGTGGTCAAAGGTTATGGATGGGTTTTAATTGTGGCTGAGAATGTTAACTCTGCCCATGAACCATATGTTTAGGTTAGTAGAGAGCTGGATGAGGAGCTGAGTGAGGCTACAACATGCAGCTGTCGCTCCAAGGTCGCCTCTGAGTCTGTGAGCTCGGCTGAACTGAGAAGAGTATAAAAACAAGCTGCACACACTGCCCATGGCAGATTCTTATGACTGGTCTTCATGCGTGTACTTCCTGTATATATATGTGTAGTCTGTCCTGAAAGTCAGACCTTGCAAGTAAATACCGGTTAAAAATCTTCTCCTGTCGAGTGTGGCTCCTTTTGAGTAAGTAAGATGCATCGAGAATATTTTTCTCCGCAACATTTTGGTCCTTCGAGACTGACCCTAACATCTGACCTCGGAACACCAGACTTGGACCTGAAACCGTGCATGGAGGAGAATTAAACACCTGAACTGAAAGTCCTTCGGCTGAATTGCAGATTTTAGTAAGACCAGGTCTGCTGGTGGGTCGAGGGAGGTGGCAGAAGTCTGACCAGAGGTGAGCCACGTGTCCTGAGGATAAGGAGCTGATTTTATTAAACGTTGTATGGAAGTCATGAAGGGACTTTCAATTAAAGAGCAATCAAAGACTTTCGATAGGTATGTCATGTATGTAGGTGCTTACAGGGAGATCTGGGATCTCAAAGAGCAGACACTAAGGGACTTGCTGACTCGAGCAAAAAGGGGAATTGGAAATATCTTTCATCTGTCCGTCCACAGAAAAACAAGTGAAATACTGACTTCTGTTTCAGGAAACTATGCTTTCTAGTTTGTATCTGCTTAAGAGTATAGCTTCTTCAAATGAATGGGGTGGCCTTAGATTAATCTATGGTGGCCATGACCCCCATTGGCCACCCCCTGGCTCCACCATTGCAGCTGGTAGTGGATAAAATCCCTCCACTCACCAGGATCTGTCACTCTGTGCCACCTTGGACAAGAAAAAAAACACCATCATTTTTCTCCACAGTATAACTCCTGCCTACTTTAATATCTGGCACAAAAACATTTAGGTTTACTTGCATTCTCTGTTCAATTCCCATCCAGAAGAACACTCATCTGGAAAACGACAAACTTTCACTACTCAAGTCCCTCAGCAATAGGGGACACTGGCATACTGCAGCTTGTATTTTTAGGCACACGTGTTCTTTTATGGGTTGTTAAATATACATCTTTTTCAATTATTCTATTGTTATTAATTTCTTAAACAGAAAACACCATTTTAAAACCTGATTTGTAAATTGACTAATGGCTGCTTCAATTTCTAAAGAAACTTAAATGGGACCAGGTGTATTTTTCATTTGATACCTACAGGTGAGTCCTATTGAACGTCATAGCAAAGGGGGTGAATATATATGCACATAGCTTCTCAGTTTTCTATTCATTACTATTATTTAAAGCCAATTTTCCCTCTTACTTTCATTAATAGAGTATTTTGTGTAGGTCCTTTTCATTTAACCAAATTGAAAATCCAGGTTTCATTTGCAACAAACTGTGAACATGAAGGTGGTGAATAGAGACCATCTTAGTACCAACAAAACTGGTTTGTTCCACTTTGGAGTAAGCTGTTTGGGGAAGAATCAGTTTTGTGTTGTGTTTCCTTGACTGATGAAGCCTTCTGGATGGAAGGTGAAACGTTTCAGCACAAACAAAAAAAGAAACTGTCCAGAGGACCTGAGTAAAAAATGTTGGAAGGTGGTGAATACTTCTGCAATTCCCTCTCCAAGCGTTCTGTTGTCCCGTGGACTTGAACATTCACTCGGTTACTGAAAATCAGCAGTAGGTTGAAGGTTTTACTTTACTTACTCAGCTTTTACTCTGGTTTATTTACTGTTTCGTGTCTGAATTACACATGTGCTCGTGGCGGTCTTTTTTTCTCGTAAAGATAATCTGTGACTCTTCAGGTTTTTTGCATGACCTTTATCTTGACCTTTTACCTCATATTCTCCGTCTCGTAGAGCAGAAAACGGTGAATAGTCTTCGCGCAGCCTCAACTAAAGTAGATTTTCTTCTGACACTAATTTCTGTTTCTCTTTTGTTTCCTGGTTGTATTGTTTGCTGTTGGCCATTCTGTAGCATTACCTTGATTTATGTCCTGTCTTTGCTTTGTCTCAGTTTCCATATCTGTCCATCTGAAAGCCTTGCTCTCCCCCTCTGTCTCCTCCCTCAGTCCAGTCTTCAGTTTAGTCCCCCCTCCCCTTTTCTTTTAGTTTAAAATGACACAAAGCTTGCAGTGGTTTTGTTGAACATAATTTGACTCTTTTTCTAACACATTTGTATTAACTTTTGTATTTGAATGAACTCTTAAGCATTCCAGAGTTTCTTTAGTGCAGACTTTAGTGAACGGAGGGCATCGTGAGCGCAGACCCCGAGGGTCCTATGCCTTATTTGTGCTTCATAATGCTTGAGCCTGCTCGATTCTTACACACGAATGCATCCTACTTGTGCATGTTTACGTCGTAGCTTGGGATGATAGGTTGCTAAGTGAGGAAGGGTTATTTATTAAAACCTTAATGAAAGGAAAGGTTTGGCTTCCTGTCAGCTGAGCAGGCAGATTCCCTCTGAACCTGACCCACATCGGTTTGAAAATCCAAATCCCAGTGTTCCCATCATCCCCCCTGACCCTCCCTCACCACTCCTTCTCGCTCGTCCCTTCATTCCCTTTTTCCCCTCTGTGCGTTAAACCTCATTACCCATGCAAGTAATTGGCATCTGTAAAAGCTGGCGAGGTCAGAAGGGCGCACAGCACAGCAAGGGTGAGAGTCTCCTGAACTATATATCCACACATGTACCTCTTTCATTCTTCCTCAAGGCATTCTTTCTTTGTCACCATCCTGGGAATCAGCAGAAACTTCTTCCATTCACAAATCTCTTTTCTACCTTTCTTCCCATCACTATTTAAAACTTTATTTTCTTCTATATTTCTATTTCCTCCCACCTCATGTTTTTTTTTTTTTTTTTTACTTTTCATCTATAGTTTCCTAAGTTTCATATAAGTTTCCTTTTTATTTCTTTATTTTTCTATCTATATATATGTGTGTGTAGACCCTGGAGTCCTGGGGTTTCACCAGTGTAAACATACTTTGCATCTGTAAACATTTCTCCCAAGTCATAGCTCGCACCCGTAACTTTCACTCTGCAGAACTAACGATGAATTCAGATCATCGAGATTTTCAAATTGGAGTCGAAACCACAGCTTGACCTTTAACCTTCCTACATCAAGCTTTTCATCTGCTGTCCTTTGATGGACTTTTACAAATTGTACAAATTAAATTTACTTGGGTACCACCATTTTTTTTCTGTTAGCAGAAAATGATGTAATTAAGCTGTAATTCTGACTTCTGTTTTTCCTCCTTCTCTCCGTTTTTGCTCAGACATCTTCTCGTCTGTCTGTCCGTCCGTCCAGTTCAGAGACGCCTAGCGCCGCTGAGTTGGTGAGCGCCATCGAGGAGTTGGTCAAAAGCAAGATGGTAGGCTACAAACACTGAGCAGAACCGTACTATCTTACCACCAACTTGTACATTTGCAGCTTCAATCACAATGTCCCAAATATTTCTGGACCCTAAATAAACTCAGATTTCTGTTCTCTTCTCCACCCACTTCATACTGGTCTCGGCAGCCACTCCAGTGTAGACAATGTAACCAACTGGGGGACATTTTAATGAGTTTTATCATTAATATTGTGGTCAGGCATGGACATTCAGAGATGTAGCCTTCAGTGTTCCCTGAATTGTCTTAAGACAACATAAATCTATTAAACAAGGTTTTATTTCGGTCATGACTGAGCGGTTCGACCCGGCCCATTGTTGATGATTTAACGAACTGGAGTACACTTCTGACAAAGTCTGGCTTGTCATTGTGTCCCAGAAATATTACTATGTTTAGTTTTAGTTTTTACCTGTATAGACTAGCGCCCGACTGATATGGACATTTTTTGCTATCGCCGATACCGATATTGAGAGGACGAACGCCGATAACTGATGCAATTGCTGGCAGAGTTCTGAGCTTTGACCTCCCCCAAGAATCTATTAGAGAACAGCGAGTGGAGCGGGGCTTGTTTATTTAGCACAGCTGTTAGCAACCATGAAGCTAAGCTAATCAGATCCACCTTTAATTAGTCACACAGTAGGTCTACAAGTGGTGCACTGGTCATAAAAACTGTCCTCCTAATGTGCGTTCACATTTTCTATCGTCCACTTTCACCATAAAGTTATCGAGTGTGTTACATAAATATCAATTAAACAAAGAAACGCCCTTTCTGTTCTTGTTTAAAAAGTCAGTCACATATGGTGAACGTCTTAATTAGTGCTGAACGCAGCAGAGTTTATTTTCTTTGTAGAGAAGTAGATTTCAGACAAACGATGCATTTCATTGAGGACAACAAAGATAACGTTACTAACACTGGATGTCCTCACAAACTGGAAGCTCAGTCTGTCAGGACTGTTGCTATAACTACTGACAACGAGGCTAATGTTGTGAAGGCGGTGCAACTGAACACTAACGTTAGCTTGCTAACTTGAGAGGCACGTAGCTAATGACAAAATGGGTTGGAGGATTGAAGAGAATTCTTATTGTTGATTTGTTTTACAGATCAGTTAAAATAAACTTACCAGGCTCTGTTCAGAAAAATACGCTGCACAGTATTGCTCCCTGCCACGTTTGTGCTGAAAGTGAAACTTCAAATGAACGTCCATGACTTGAAAGTTGTCTTCGTGCGCCCTCTGCTGGATACATTATATAATTACAGCTGGTTCCAGCATTTAGGGGTGAAAACTAGAAGTGTTTATATCTGCGCATAATGTGATATCACTGATACCGATAGTTCCCCAATGGCCTACATCGGTCTAAAATATCAGCCCTTCCAATATATCGGTCAGGCTCTAGTACAGACACAAGCTGACGATAAAATCAAGCACATTTTGAAGCTGTGCAGGGTTGAGTGTGTTCTGCAGTGATACGTGCATATACTGAAGGTGCAGCATGACAACACTTTTTCATCCTGCTGGTGTCTAACGGTAACTGCTGTGTACAAACAGGGCAACCGCTAAGTGTTAAGTTTGGGTATGACTTGGTGGAAGTCCAAACTGACCAGCACCCATTACAGCCTGCAATAAACTCTTTTGTAAGAATTTATTTGGTTAAAATTAGAAGCCAGTTAATATTAGTGGCCTTTGTTACGAAAACGTTGTTTTAAAGAAACGTCAGCTTCATTTAGGTTTGAATATTGTTCATATTAAGAGAACAAAAGTGACATTTGTGTTTATGTCACGTCTTTTTCTATTAAAGTTCTTCTTAATTTTTTTTCTCCTTCATTTTGTCCCAAACGCAGGCTCTGGAGGACCGACCCAGCTCTCTGTCTGTGGAGCAGGGGGACAGCAGCTCTCCCTCCTTCAACCCCTCTGATAACTCCCTCCTGTCCTCCTCCTCACCCATAGAAGAGGTGGATGAACGCCGGGCTAGCATCCTCAAAAGAAGACAGTGCGTCCACTCATATCAGACGCACACTACTCTCAGAACCACACTTGCACGTTCTGGTTTGAACTTAATCTGTGCATCTTTTCCTTTAGTCATGTCCTGTTAGAGCTGGTAGACACAGAGCGAGAGTACGTCAGAGACCTCAGCCTCCTGGTGGAGGTGAGTTGTTGCTGCGTCAGAAAACAAATGTGTTGCTTTTAAAGATCCTCATACGTTTTGCTGGGATTTTGTCTGCGTCTCCATCTGAAGGGCTACATGAGCAGGATGAAGGAGGAGGGCGTTCCTGATGACATGAAGGGGAAAGATAAAATTGTGTTTGGAAACATCCATCAGATCTACGATTTTCACAAAGAGTAAATCAAACACACGACAAATGCAAAGTTTTTAAAACTCCCGAGTCACCGCCAGAATAACTTTTGTTTTTGTTTTTCTCTTGTTCAGTTTCTTTCTCAGGGAGTTGGAGAAATGTTTAGAAGACCCCGACAGACTGGGCCCACTTTTTCTCAAACAGGTTTGTCTACCAAATTTCGTACTTCTGCTTTATTGAATGTGCCAATAGGCCTGTCATGATAACAATTTTTTTCTCAATTATTGCGATAAACGATAATATTATTTGAAATTTGACAATAATTAGTAATTATTGTCAAATTTAAGAAGAAATGTTGATTTGTTTGGTGTGTAGTACCTATTTTCAACCACTGGATGGCAGTATAAGACTGTTGGAACCGAAGAATGGATAGTGAGGGAGCGAGAAGCGTGTCTCTAAGAAAAATGGCAGGGATGCACCTTGACGTGACATGGGCTGTGTCTCGTTCCTTTTTTTTTTTTTGGGTTCTCAAAATGGCGGACGCTCGGTGTGATTTGAGCTCTTTAGCATAGCATTTATCACACAAAGCTTTTAATTAAAAAAAAAATCAGTAAACAAGTTCTCAGCTTCTTTTTGCAGAGAAAAAACAACTTTTTACACGAAGGCACGGGTTTCAACCATGAATTTTGGAGCTTTGACAAGACGGAGGTTTTTTCCCGAGGCCGGCCTGTTAGCTTAGCTTGTAACTTAGCTTCTCAGCTTAGCTGCTTTTAACGATCCAAAAACGTGATTTTGGATCGTTAAAATGGATTTTAAAGAGAAAGGGAGGGGTCAGTGAAGAACACCGGAGTTGAGCTTTTTGTCATCCAGTGTCTTCAGAAAGAGAGAGACATGAAGAAACGATAAAGCTGATAAACGAAAATGAAGTTGATAATTTTCATTTATCATGCGATTAATTGATTTATTGTTTATTGCGACAGGCCTATGTGCCGATGCAGAAGCATTAAAACACCTTTCTTTGTTTTTGTCACAATTTTTGATTCTTCTGATTTGTTTCTTTGGTTCTACTGCTTTTGGAAATGTGTTTTAAAAATTATCTTAAAACGAACATCTCATCAGGAATAGTACTCTCTGACCTTTGGCAGAGATTGTACAGTTCACACAAAATCCATCCATCCATTATCTTCACCCACTTCATCTTTTCTGGATCCACGGTGCCCATATCCAGCAGTCACTGTGCGAGAGGCAGGGGACACCCCGGACAGGTCTCCAGTCTATCACAGGGACACATAGAGAGACAAATGAGACACCTAGGGACGATTTAGCGCTGCCATTCAGCCTAGCTTACATGTTTTTGGTCTGTGGGAGGAAACCAGAGTACCCGGAGAAAACCCACACAGCCTATAATGTGTCTTAGGCGGTACCCGTTTGAATTTGCTGTTGCACAACAACTACTTTGAAACTATCTGCTTTGTTTTTTCCTTTGTTCAGGAACGGAGGTTACACATGTACGTAATCTACTGTCAAAACAAGCCTAAGTCTGAGCTCATCGTGTCGGAGTACATCGACACCTTCTTTGAGGTGCGTCATCTTGTTTTGTTAGAAAGAGCTTCCAGTTGGAGGAACGGCAGATTTTCAACTTTTGATTTTGTAGGATCTGAAGCAGCGACTGGGACACAGACTGCTGATCACAGATCTGCTCATCAAGCCCGTCCAACGGATCATGAAATACCAGCTGCTGCTCAAGGTTAGTCTAACTCTACGACAGAGGGTGCCAGAGCTCCAGCTGCTGCTCGCTTCTTAAAATTCACTGTCAATTTGTGTCATTTAGGACTTTCTCAAACATTCAAAAAAGGCCGGGATAGATCCTCCAGATTTAGAGGTAAGATCAAAGACTCAAAGCTCCTTTTAAAAGCTTTATTTAAAGAAATGTCTGATTATTTTAATTAATTAATTAATTTTTTTTTACTCCTGACTTCCAGAAAGCGGTGGAGGTCATGTGCATTTTGCCAAAAAGGTGTAACGACATGATGAACGTGGGCCGACTTCAGGGATTTGATGTAGGAAGTTACAGTAACACATCAGAAATACGTCTGCATAATAAAATACAAGTAAAAATGATCGTAAAGAATAAAAACCAAGCGTGATGCTGATCTCATGAACCTGCCGTTTCAGGGGAAGATTGTGGCTCAGGGTCGCCTTTTGCTTCAGGACACGTTTCTGGTGTCTGACCCAGAGGGCGGTCCACTCGGCCGAATGAAGGAGAGGAGAGTGTTCCTGTTCGAACAGCTCGTCATCTTCAGCGAGCCCCTGGATAAGAAGAAGGGTTTCTCTCTGCCGGGCTTTCTTTACAAGAACAGCATCAAGGTGATGAAACTACCAGCTAAAATATATACTTAGAGGTCCTCGCTGGAGCAACAAATAAACACGTTCCTTTGAAACTGAGTTTGTTTTCCTGTTGTCTTTTGACCCTTTCACACTCCAGGTGAGCTGCTTGGGTCTGGAGGAGAGTGTGGAAGGTGATCCCTGTAAGTTCATCCTCACTTCTCGGTCACCCAGCAGCACCGTGGAGTCCTTCGTGCTTCACTCCTCCCATCCAGGCGTGTGTGACGTTTGGACCCTTCAGATCAGCCAGATGATCGAGAGCCAACGCAACTTCCTCAACGGTTGGCTTGCTCACACACACGGGCCGTGTTTGATTTGAAATACTCTGCTTCCAGGCTCTAATTCCAGGTTTCTCAGTTGATTTCTAATTTTTCTGCAAGAATTTTAGCTATGAAAAAATACACACAATTTTTCAAGCTGTCTAGTAAATATATAATTGGCTTAAAGTTATTTTGCTTGCCACAATTTGGCGTCTGAGTGTTTAAACTTCTTTGTCCTGATTTCCTTCCAGGTCTCTTAAATATTGTTTTTGGTAACTTTTTGTCCCCCGTTACGGAATGAAAAGGGGAAATTGTAAATACATCTGTCTGTCGGGCCGTGCGTAAGAAAGGTTCATATCAAAAATTAGGTTGTCAGGTCAAAATCCAAGATGGCTGCTGCCATATACGTCCGTCCGTCTTGTGAGCTGGATAACTTGAAAAATAAGTAATGTGCTGGCTTCCATTTTGGTGTGTGGCAGCAACTAGGCATAAGGAAGGTCACGATCAAAAATTGGGTTACCACGCCAAAGTCCAAGATGGCTATCGCCATATATATGTATGTAAACCAACCACACCTATTATTTAGGAAAAATATGCTTTCTAGTTTTTATATTGCTTATAAGTATAGTTTCTTCAAAAGGTGGCCAGTGGGGTAGCCGAAGATTAATTTGTGGTGAGGAAGGTCTCCATTGACCACCCCTTGACTCCACCCGTGGGGGATGAAACGTCTCTCTGCATTCCCAAAGATCCGTCTCTCTGTACCGCCTTGGACAAGCAAAAACTAAACTATTTAAACTTCTACACACTTGAATATCTTTCACCAAAAACATAAACGTTAGCTTGAATTCTCTGTTCAATTCCAATCCAAAAAAAACACTTATTTTGAAAACCACAAACATTCATTAGTCTAATCCCTCATAAGAGGGGACACCAGCATACCACATGTTTCTTCTAGATTAGTTGTGAGGGAAGACGCACCTAAACCACCCTAAAGTTCTGAAATATTGCTTTAATGTTAGTAAGTGTGTATCTTTCTCTTGAAATAAAAAATACAACTGAATAAGCATTAATTGTATATTGCTATTGTTTAAAGGCCAGGTTTTAAAATTTGTTACAACAGAAATGACCATCAGTTAAGTTCTGGTCCTTTTTTTTTTATATAAATTGCCCTCGTTCGATTCACTAGGAGTTGCGTGTGCTGTTAAGCAGTGGTGTGTTGGGTACACAGGCCCTCTAGTCTCTTCTGTACCTTATCACAGCTTTGCTTTTTCTAACAGAGTATCAGAGGAACCATGTGGGGGCCAGCGATAGCCCGTGCCTGACGTCCTTGGGTGCTCCATGTGGGGGCGGTGGCAGTACATCCCCTGTAGTTGGAAGTGAAAACAACCAGAGCAGCTCCGTCCCGTCAGGACTCCAGACTGGCTCCCGTCGGCCTTCCAGGATTCCACAACCCTCCCGTTTGCCTCAACCCCTACGCCACCAGCCCGGGGCCGACCCAGAGGGCCCCAACAAGACATTAGGTACAGAACATGAATCTGAATTTGTGAAAGTGGCTTTTTGTTGCACAATAGAATGTGTGATTGAAGTGCGAGTTCTGCTTGGTTGTGATCCAGGTTCATCCCCTCGTCCCGTCCCTCCTCCCCTGTTTCCTTCAGGGGGGAATCCGCAAGGCAAGCATCCGTCCCTGACCCCAGAGGACCCCTCACAGACCCCCACTCTTACCAGCACTGTTAACCCTATTCCTCATGCCAATGTTGGGCCTCTGCCCTCCACACCAACTTCCAAAGCACGGCCAGGAGCCGTGTCTCCCATCGCCTCACCACTGGCCACCCCCGCCTTTGGAAAAGATGCCCTCCCTCCTCCCCCTCCTAGTCCAGGCCAAAAGTCTGGGTCTGGATTTTGGAGCTCCATGCCGGGCTCTCCAGCCAGCCGGCCTGGTTCATTCACCTTTCCTGGGGAGGCAGGAGAGACTTCAGTCCGACAGAACTCAAACCAGATCTCAGCTGGTTCTGGGAATCAAACCCATAGGCACTCCACACACAGCAAGGACGCCGATCGTATGAGTACATGCTCATCAACCAGTGAGCAGTCCATCCAATCCACCCAGAGTAACGGGGTAAGACTACTTCCTGCTGCCCAGTGCTGATTCCACTAACACCGAGCTGAGGGAGGCCTGGTCTGTCCTGCTGCAGCCAGGGCTACTAATCTGTTTCTTCTACGCATCTCTGACCACCTTCACCGCTCGCCAACACCGCCTCTCTAACTTTACAACATTTCTGACGGCAACTTCTTCCCAAGGTTTCAGCTATCACTATTGACAAGCAATCTGTTTCATGGATCTTTTTTGCCTCTGAATGATTTTTCAAGGCTTTTCCCAGAATTCTAACCAAGCTTAAACTAACATCTTCCTTCCTCTTGGCTGTCTTTCACCAACTGCTGTATTTATGGTGTTTGACTGAAAGGTACTTTACCACCAACTAACCTCTGACGTTTGTGGTTCAACCACAAATGGACTCAGATTCTTTCATTCAACCTAACTCTCTTCTCCCTTTGCCTGGACCTTCAGTGCAAAAACTCCTGAACAGGAACTTTTCTTTTTTCAATCTTTTTTTTACTCGCCCTGCTGTTTTTATATTAAACATGTAAAATATTTAATAATTTTCAGTGTTTGAGCTTACCGTGCCGGTTCTGTCTCCCTGTCTCACAGAGTGAAAGTAGCAGCAGCAGTAGCGTATCCACCATGTTGGTGACCCAGGACTACATGGCTGTGAAGGAGGACGAGATCAGCGTTTTTCAGGGTGAAGTGGTCCAGATCTTGGCCAGCAACCAGCAAAACATGTTTCTGGTGTTCAGGGCAGCTACTGAGCAGGGCCCCGCCGCCGAGGGCTGGATCCCCGGATTTGTGCTGGGACACACCTCAGCCATTGTCCCCGACTGCTCTGAGGGACCCATAAAGTAAGACACCTGCAACAGAAACCATTCAGTTTCTATTTTTTGTGTTAGAAACTAAAGCTGCCTGTATTTTTGTTGTTGTTTCTACACTGCAGTGGCAATAGAATTGATATGGAGATCAAAGTTCAAATGTTTTCAGTGCATTTAAGCAACAGTTATGGTGTTCCCAAGACTCTGGGCTAGGTTGAGTTTTTTTGTGTTTCTTTGGGCAAGCATTCAGTTTCATTGCTATGCTGATAACATCCTTCTCTGTGTATAAATACAGCCAGATAATACTGATCAGCCTGGTGATGTAAAAATCTTGCAGACATTTATGTTTTTGTTTTTTTAACCCCTAAATTCAGCTAAAACTGAGCTAATTGTTTTTGGTTCTAAAAAAACCCAAAAGTTACATATGTAACTACGGTTCTATGAATCCTGGATGACCGCCAGAGGGCGGTGCTGAAAGCACTGAATGTTCCCTTCACGCATGCGCTGTTTGAGTAATAATACCAACTGAGTCACAGGTTGGACACGGATGACCAATCAGAGGCTATAAAGCCCGATGTCATCTGCAGCTCTGCTCCAACAGAATCTTCTCGCAGAATGCAAGGATTCTGAGTGACAGAGAAGCTCTGGCGGTCATCCGGGATTCATAGAACCATAGTTAAATACGTAACTTTTGTTCTATTTCATCCCTCCTGATCGCCAGAGGGCAATGCTGAAAGCACTGAATGACTAATACCAACGATGTCACAAGGAATCCTGAGCACACACCTCACTGAGGAGGCCCAGAGGACCCTTGCAGAAGACGCTGGCCCAGGGGATGAGGGGTGGCCATGTTCACTCTGTAAAATCTGGTGACGTGCTTGGGGAAGCCCATGATGCGGTAGCACATATTGCTTCCATCGGAACCCCTCTCAGGCAGCCCAGGAAGCGGACATGCTCCTGGTAGAATGTGCCTTCACGCCGACCGGCTGGGGGCCGTGCCCTGCGGCGTAGGCGTCGCAGATGGATGACATCCACGATCCAGTGGAAGAGGTGCTGTTTAGAAAGAGGATAGCCTAACGTAGGGCCTCTGTAACACACAGACAGCTGGTCTGAACATTGTATAATGGCAGTAACTGCAACGTATGCCTCCAGTGCTCTCACTAGGCACAATAATCCAGACCCCTCGCCAGGTGTAGGCTGAAAACGTGCAAGCCTCAATGGTTGATTACAGTTAGAGTGAGATAACACCTTTGGTACAAATGCAGTGTTTGGCCACAAGGTAACGTCAGAGCCCTCAGGGCCCCACTTGAGACATGAGGACCTGAGAGAGAGCATGTAGCTCACCGACCCTCTTGCTGAGGCCATAGCCAACAAAAAGGTTGTCTACATGAAAACCACTTGAGGTCCGCCTGCATCAGAGATTCAAACGGAGGGCGGCAGAGAGCTTCAAGAACCAAGCTGGTGTTCGTGGAGCTGTCGGTGGGTGCTACCTACGGGCACCACGCAGAAAAGAGAGACTAGATCATGGCTCCCCACCGTATGGCCATCGAAGCCGGCGTGATTAGATGATATTGCCGCTACATAAACTGTAAGCGTCGAAGGAGAGCAACCCTTACTAAGGAAAGACTGGAGAAACTCCAGAATGGTGAGTACTGTATAAGAGACTGGATCCTCATTGTGATCAGAACACCATTGGGAAAACAGACGCCACCTGTTTTCGTACTGCTGATGAGTAGAGGGTGCTCTGGCGCCCAGGATGGTGCATCTGACGGGGCTCGAAACTCCAGTCAGCTGCTGTCCTAGCCTTGCAGTGGCCACACCCACAGCCAAAGACGTTGAGAATTGAGGTGCCTTGTCAGTCCCCCCAACTGAGACAGCAAGTCCCTCCTGGTCGGAAGACACCATGGGACGCCCTGACATAGACTCCATAGCAGTGGGAACCATGGTCATGCTGGCCAATATGGAGCCACCAGCAGCATTCTGTGGCCCTCCTCGAGGACTCCCTGAAGGGTCGGCCAAATTAGAGAAAGGAGTGGAAAGGCATATAGGAGGACCCTTGGCAAAGGATGGGCCAATGCTTCCTGGCCCAGCGCACCCGACGCCCCAGTAGGGGAGTGTCATAGGGGACACTGAGTCGACTTCTCTGTCGCAAACAGGTCTACCTCTGCCTGACCAAAACGGTCCCAGATCATCAGCACTATGTCGCTGTAGAGGGACCACTCTCCCAGAGCAGACCCCTGGCAGGAGAGAAAGTCTGCGGCCTGACTGTGTCGCCCTGGTAAGTATGCCACCCGCAAGGTGGACAGGCAAGGAAAGGCCCATTCCAAGGGCTCTCTGGACACTCTCAGAAGTTGTGCTGACCTGGTGCACCCCTGGTGGTTGATGTGGTAGACAACAATGAGAACATGCCCCCCTTCCAGGTGGGGCAGGAAGTACCTGAGTGCCAAATGCAGTGCACGCAGCTCCAGCACCTTTATATGGTTGGAGCAGTCCTTTGACCCCAGCGGCCCTGAACTGCTCTGCGTTGCCACACAGTGCCCCATCCTATGGAGCTGGCATCCATCGTGACCGCTTCCCTGCGACTCATTACCACTCCCATAGAGACACCCCTGGACAAATAATATTTGTCCCTCCATGGGGTCACGACATGAAGACATGACCATGTTACTGTGAGCTTGTGATACCTGTGCAGCCTGGCATCCAGGCGAAAGCTGTTGAGCCACCTCTGCAAGGGGCGAAGTGACAGCGGGCCTAAGGGCACCACCCGAGTGACTGACGTCAGTTGCCTAGTAGCTGCTGGAAGGCAACGTAGGGGAGCTGCCTGCCCAGCCTGAACCGACTGACCAACTGGAGTATGCCGCCCACCCAGGAGTTGGGGGTTCAAATCCACCAGCAGCGGTACACCTCAGTTTGCAAATGTCTCAGTCTCTGATAGAAGACATTTGCAAACTGAGGTGTACCGCAAACCCACCCACACAGACCAGTATTTGCAGTTTGACTCCCATCACCCTTTGGAGCACAAGTTAGGAGTCATCAGGACTCTGTACCACAGAGCAGACAGCATCCCCACTAACTCAGGAGCCAGGCAGAAGGAGAAGTCCCACACAAGACAGGCTCTAGAGCAATGTGGATATCCTAACTGGGCCTTCCTGAAAGCAGAGAAGAAACCCAAACAGGACTCCAGTCAGCCATCAGGTGAAAAGGAGGAACCCAGACCAGTGGTTATTCCATATGTTGAGGGAGTATCAGAGAAACTGAGACATTTATTTTCTAAACACAACGGCCCAGTGGCTTTTAAACCCCAAAATACATTACGGCAAAGACTGGTTCATCCCAAAGATCCAGTCCCCCGGCACAAACAGAGTAATGTTGTGTATGCTGTTCAGTGTCAGGAGGGCTGTGATCAGTCTTACATCGGGGAAACTAAACAGCCACTGGCCAAAAGGATGGCCTAGCACAGAAGATCAACATCATCAGGCCAGGACTCTGCGGTCTACACTCATCTCCAGGCCAGCAGTCACTCTTTCAGGGATGAAGATGTGCACATCCTGGATAGAGAGGAACGATGGTTTGAGAGAGGAGTAAAGGAGGCCATCTTTGTGAAAAGAAATTGTCCATCATTAAACAGGGGTGGAGGCCTCCGGGTTCAACTGTCCCTCTCTTACAATGCTGTGATTGCTAGTATCTCTCAACCCCCTGTGAACAGTAAACAGCATCAGTGTGCTAATGATCCATCGTTAGGCTGATGGTTCTTGATCATGTGAGCAGCTGGTTTTGGTTGTCAGCAGCAAAACTGGTTGATCCACTCTGAGAAGGTGCTATTTATAAGACTGAGCTGAATACAGCACCTCAGACTGAGGAAGTCTTTTGGATGGAAGATGAAACATTTCTACATTTTTTTTGTTTTGCTTAGTTTTGATTTTTGAATGTCCAGAGGACCAGATTTAACTTTTTTAGAACTCCCATTGTGCATTTGATGACATTGCACTAGCGTCTACTGCTACTGTTAGAAACCTTGGCATTGTTTTAGACTGAAATCTATTTTACAAATCACACATCAGACTAGTTTCTAGTTCAGGATTTTTCCATCTGTGCAATATTTTTAAAATCGGGAGCATCTTGTCCAAAAGTGATGCTGACTGGTCCATGCATCTGTGGCTCGTAAGTTTAGCTAGGTGTCCAACTTCTCCCTTAAACCTTCCAGTTGATTGAAATTGCTGCAGAAAGGCAAAACATTCTTTTTATTGAGCTTCTAATCGGTATCCATCCTCAATCATTTACTGATGTGCCTGTTTTGCACAAGTTTTAATAAGCTATTGTTTTATTTTATTGTTTTAAACTTGTGCTTTGTTCATGTTTTGGTTTTGCTTTGATAATGTTTGGTGTGAACTGGGAGCAGGTGGGAGGGAGTTTGAAGTATGAGAATGATGAAAATCAGTCAAAGGAAGACAGAATCCTTATGTGTGAATGAGAGGAAGACAGGTGGAATGTTGGAGAGATAGTGGATATACTAAGACAAAAGATGTTGATAATGGAGCTACCAGTGAAAACTATAAGAGGGAGACCACAGAGGAGGCTCATGGATGTTGTGAAGAAGGATCTGCAGAGAGTTGGCATGATGGAGCAGAATGCAGGGATAGAGTGAGATGGAGGGAGATGATTTGCTGTGATGACTCCTAAAGGCAAGAAGAGGAGGACTTGTTTTAAGCATTTTGGGTTTCACTTGTGTTTAAAAAGTGCTGTAGAAATAAAATTGAGTTGTCGTTTCTGTAAATGGGCACCTCATGGGTATCTCTGACACTGAGCCATGACACTTCCTTTTTCAGTAGGAAATCTTCATCTTGGCACACGTCTCTGCGTATCCGCAAGAAGTCTGAGAAAAAGGAGAAGGAGGTGAAAAAGGAGACCAAGCTGGAAAATGGTTACAGGAAGTCCAGAGATGGACTGGCTACTAAAGTTTCTGTAAAGGTGTGTATTAGTTCAACTCAAGAATTAGCAGCGATGCTCCACTCTTTTATATGTTTTCTATTTAACGTTTCTGTTTTTTCCTCCCAGCTTCTAAATCCAAACTACATCTACGATGGTAAGGGTTACTTTCCTGTGGTTATTTATACATTGAGACAAAAGTAACTTGCTACTGACATTGAATTATTGTGAATTTGTTTTTGTCAGGCCCCCCAGAGTTTCTCGTTCCTCTGAGTGATGTGACGTGTGACAACGGCGAGAGCGTCACCTTGAGATGTAAGGTCTGTGGTCGACCTCGCGCCACGGTCACCTGGAGAGGACCTAACCAAAGCAACCTCGCTCACAATGGACACTTCAGCCTCGCCTACAGGTAAAGGGAACTGACATGCTCTTGGCTGAATTTTGTTTGTTTACAAAGAGGAAGTCAACATGTGATGGCAAATCAACATCCAAGATGGTCGTACACATGTTTACTTTAAGATACTTAAATTCTATTTGAAAGAAATGGGGTTTTACCTTCTGAGCTGTGTGCAGGCCCTGCCTCTGGTGAATCGTGCTTGGTGTGTACAGTCAGAGAGAGGACTCAGTGGGTCTGACGTCTTTCTTACGTTTTTTTTTTGGGCTTGTTGAGCCGAGTCTGCTCCCAGGGCTTGGATGGGGTAGGTCTTTGCAAGCTGTCACCCTTCCGTGAGTGAGGAAGAAGGACTCCTAAAGGCTCCCACATACTTCACTCAGCCGAGGTCCACGCATACCCGACTCAACGAGCATAGACTCAACGAGGACTCGAAGTGGACGTCCGCAAGCCATGTCTGCGCAAAAATAAATTTTTACGACTGCGAACGTGCAATCAGTGTTAGAGCTGTCATTTCTAACCCGAACCCGGCGCTCGGCCCCACCTGACCCAAATTAGGACTGGGCCTTAATAATGTGCTTAATGCGTGGGTCGGGTTGGTGTCGGGCTTTTATTATGTCAGGGATGTGTGCAGCTGACGATCCAATATACGCAAACATGGCTTGCCATACTACACCTGCCGCATGTGGCCATTTGACCGCACGCTGACTGGCCGGTTGAAAGGGGTAAAAAGTTCAGTTGAGCTTCAGATGGACTGCTGCCATTGATCAGCCCAAATGAACGTTCATTCAGCCGCTGCACTCGGCGGACGTGCCCAGCCGACGACTCAAACAGGTGAGATCACAAAATATCCGACATGTCAGAGCAGGGTCCAATGCAGGCAGAAGCAGGGGAAGCATTTAATGTGCTTTGACGGCTCTTCAGCTCTGGTCTTCTGCCCCCTTTACTCAACCGCGAGCTGTGATGATTGTAACTGGTACTTTCTCAGATCCTTTTGCTTCTCCCTGTATCGGTTTTCAGTTTCAGTGTAATGTACCTGATTAAGTGTCCCCACCCCAGCTATTTCAATCTTAAAGAATATTTCACATTCACAGAAGTCACATACCACGATTTTGTTAATCAGAATAATGTCACTGTGACACCTCTGCTGCTATAATTTCTGCTATCGGGCAATGTTCAACCTAATCCAGGCCCTGCTCTGAACATCATTGGTACTCGATGAATTCAGATATAGGTCAGGTTTAGACATGATTTGCTTAAACGTCAGGAGCCTGCTGCCAAAATTGCACACTGTAAAAATGTGGGTTCAGTCAACTAAAACATTTTTTTGTCTCATCTTAATCCTGGCTCTGCAAATCAGTCTCTGAAGCGGACATTGTTTTAATGTGTATAATTTTGATGTGATCGCTTTAGAAAAGATGAAGAAGCTTGAACTCGTTGCTCTGAAACTGGATTTCTCCTGAAGCCAGTCTCTTACAGTAGTAGGGTTTTACAGAAGCTCTGGCGTCTTTTGTTGATGGGTCAAACACAGTTGATAGTTTAAACCTTGATTGGTTGACCTCATCGTCTGATGTACTAAAATCTGTCTGCGATTTTTTAAACTTGACTCAACTAATTAATTTGTCAACCCACCTTAATGCTAAAAACCCAGCAATATAATCTTTACCTGAACTTGCCCTACTTTTAACAAATGTCTCACGACTACAGTAACACGGGTGTGTTTGCAAATGATCTATGTGACTGTTGCAGCATTGCAGCAATAAGAATTACCAAAGATTTAAAGTCTAAATCTAATATTCTAATTTAGAGATTTAAAAACATTTTTGTGCAGTCTTTGCTGCATGATGTGTCTTGTCTTTGAGTGGAGCAGACTTTATTTAATTGATCATGTAATGCTGGCATTGGACTGAATTTCATTGTATAATCAGCACAGTGTGACCTGGAAGGGCGTGATTGGGAGGAACGGCCTCTCTGATCTGAACCCGAGTGGTGTTCTGTTGTTGGACTTCTGTGCTAGTCATAGTTTGTCCATCACGAACACCATGTTCCAACATAAGGGTGTCCATAAGTGCACTTGGCACCAGGATGCCCTAGGTCGTAGATCGATGATTGACTTTGTATCATCTCATCTGATTTGCGGCTGTTTGTTTTGGACACTCGGGTGAAGAGAGGAGCTGAGCTGTCAACTGATCACCACCTGGTAGTGAGTTGGATCAGATGGCAGGGTAAGAGGCCGGACAGACCTGGTAGACCCAAACATGTAGTGAGGGTTTGCTGGGAACACCTGGCAGAAGAACCCGTCAGAGAGATCTTCAACTCACACCTCCAGGAGAGCTTTAACCACATTCCAGCTGAGGCGGGGAACATTAAATCTGAGTGGGCCATGTTCCGCAACTCAGTTGTTGAAATGGCTTCCTTGAACTGTGGTCACAAGATTGTTGGTGCTTGTCGCGGTGGCCATCCTCGAACTCGGTGGTAGACACCCCGGGTTTGGGAGGCTGTCAAGCTGAAGAAGTCCTATCGGACCTTGTTGGCTGGTGGGACTCCGTAGGCAACTGAGGAGTACCGGAGGGCCAAGCAGTCCATAGCCTTGGCTGTTGCTGAGACAAATGCTCGCATGTGGGAGGAGTTTGGTGAGACCTTGGATAGAGACTCTCAGTCGGCTCCAAGGAGATACTGGCAAACTATCAGGCAGCTGAGGAGGGGAAAGCAGCACTTTACTAATGGCCCTTTTCCATTATTAACGGTACAGCATGCGGCATGGTTCCAAGGCTTTTGTACGGTCCCTTTTTCAGTACCCATTTCTCTGGGGTTCCAAGCGTGCTGAACTGGCCATAAAATGTGACATCAGAACACTGTCAGTCACTAATTGGTCAGAAGGTGGAGTCACTGGTTGTTTGAAAAACTTTCACAACAAACCGATCCGCCATTTGCAATAACTCAAACTCGAGCAGCGACTGAACTTATTTTTAAGATTTTAAAAACAATAATGACAACACTGTGGTCTAATGCTGAAGTGTAGGCATTTTTTGTGCTTGGTGGCCGACGACAAAATTCAGAGCGACCTAAATGGAGCTCCACCGGTCCCCCCCGGTCCTTTCCACCGGAGCCTCAGAGCCTCCTCAGGTCGGGCTGGTCGTCATCTCCCCAGCTTCGAGCTCTGCCAGTCACCACTGAAGATCCTCCGTGCTGCCGAACCACAGGAGGGCAGGCCCCGCTTCTGTGGACTCCGAGCTCTGCTGGTCACCGCGAAGGATCGTAGTACAAGCTGCTGACCTGCAGGAGCATATATATATATATGTGTGTGTGTGTGTGTGTGTGTGCGTGTGTGTGTGTGTGTGTGTGTGTGTATAGTTTAATCCGATCATTTTAATAATTTGTATTCTTTTTAATTTACTAGAAACTTCAAAATAAATTCTCACTCTGTACTGAAACGTGTTTCAGGGTCTTACCGCCATCAGTTGGTAAGGCGCGGGGCGTCGATTTTGAATTCTGAACCCGCCAACTAGAATCGTTACTGAAAGCATAATGGAAACACAACTGAGCCGAGTCAAACCGTGCTGTACTGGTATTAAAGGTACTAATGGAAAAGGGGCATAGCACTGTGTTCAGTGAAGGTGGGGTGCTGTTGACCTCAACCAGTGATGTCATCAGTTAGTAGAAGGAATACTTCTTGGACCTTCTCAGTCCCACCAGCACGTCTTCCATGGAGGAAGCAGAGTCAGAGGACTTCGGGTTTGTTCTGTCCATAACTGTGGCCGAGGTCACCAAGGTAGTTAAAAAGCTCTGCAGCGGCAGGGCTCCGGGAGTGGATGAGATTCACCCTGATTTCCTTAAGGCTCTGGATGTTGTGGGGCTGTCTTGGTTAACACACCTTTGCAATATCGCGTGGACATTGGGGGCAGTGCCACTGGATTGGCAGACTGGGTTGGTGGTTCCCCTCTACTAAAAGGGGGACTGGAGGGTGTGCTCCAATTATAGGGGCATCACTCTCCTTAGCCTCCCTGGTAAGGTTTATTCAGGGGTACTGGAGAAGCGAGTCCAATTGGTGGTTGAACCTCAGATCCAGGAGGCACAATGTGGGTTCCGTCCTGGCCGTGGAACACTGGACCAGCTCTTTACCCTCACTAAGGTCCTTAAGGGGTCATGGGAATTTGCTCATCCAGTCCACGTGTCATGTGTTTTGTGGACTCGGAGAAGGCATTCGGCCGTGTTCCTCAGGGTACACTGTGGGGGCGCTCCATGAGTATGGGATTGGGGGCCGTTGTTACAGGCTGTTCGATCCCCATACAAGTGGTGAGAGTGTTTGGGTCACATTGCCGGTAGTAAGTCGGACCTATTCAGGGTGGGAGTTGGACTCCACCAGGGCTGCCCATTGTCACCAATTCTGTTCATAACTTTGATGGACATAATTTCTCGGTGCAGCCAGGGGGCGGAGGGATTCCAGTTCGGTGGCCACAGCATTCCATCTCTGCTCTTTGTAGATGATGTGGTCCTGTTAGCGTCATTGTGCCGTGATCTCCAGCTCTCACTGGAGCGGTTCACAGCCAAGTGTGAAGCAGCTGGGGTGAGAATCAGCACCTCCAACTCTGAGGTCATGGTCCTCAGTTAGAAAAGGGTGGGTTGTTCTCTTCAGGTTGAGGGTGAGATTCTGCCTCAAATGGAGGAGTTCAAGTGTCTCAAGGTTTTTGTTCATGAGTGAGGGAAGAATGGAGCATGAGATTGACAGATGCATTGATGCAGCATCTGCAATATTGCGGACTCTGTACCGGTCCGTTGTGGTGAAGAGAGAGCTGAGCTGTAAGGCAAAGCTTACTGGTCAGTCTACATTCCTACCCTCACCTATGGTCATGAGCTCTGGGTAGTGACTGAAAGAGTGAGATCGTGGATACAGGAGGTTGAAATGAGTTTCCTCTGCAGGGTAGCTGGACTCTCCCTTAGAGATAAGGTGAGAAGTTCAGTTATCAGGAGAGACTCAGAGTAGAACCACTAGTCCTCCACATCGAGAGGAGCCAGTTGAGGTGGTTTGGGCATCTGGTAAGGATTCTCCCTGGGTGCCTCCCTAGGGAGGTGCTTCAGGCCTGTCAGACTGGGAGGAGACCCAGGACACGCTGGAGAGACTGTCTCTCAGTTGGCCTGGAACACCTTGGAGTCCTCCCAGAAGAGCTGGAAGAGGTGGCTGTGGAGAGAGATGTCTGGACCCCCTTGCTCAAGTTGCTGCCCCTGAGACCCCAGTCCAGAACAAACAGAAGATGATGGATGGACATGATTAATTATCGCTGCTCATTCTTACATACTCACGATTTGAGTTCTGATGGACACTTATTCTGTCTTGTTTGCAAAAACTTCAACTTGTTTTAAATGCTGACAAAACCAAGCTCATTATATTTTCTAATAAAAGATAACTACCAGGGAGGATCCCATAAAATTTAACCATACTTGGAAACATATAGAGCTTATTTGGGTTTTCTCATTGATTGTGAGCTCTCTTTAAGCTTACGTTGCTAATTTGGTAGCCGAAGTCAAACTGCAGCTGAGTTTTGTTGTAGAAGTAAATCTTGTTTCTCATTCAGAGTTAAGAAGATCATCGTGTCTGTCTGCTACCTTTATGTCCTTACTCGACTATGGTGATGTGGTGTACATGAATAACCCATCCAGGTGTTTCTAGGCCTTAGACTCTGTCTTGAGGTTTGTCTCTGGTTATGGTCGCCTCACTCATTACTGTGAGCTGTACTCACCTCTGGCCGGTGTCCTCTGAGAACATTCAGGATCATTGTAATTTTCTACAATGATTTAGGAGCCACGTTGCCTTACACTCAACAATGTTGTCCAACAGTTCCTCGTGTCAGAACTGAATGGAGGAGGAGATCATTCAGCTTTGCTGTCCCATCAGTGTGGGACACCCTACAGACTGAATCTGCCAGAGCTCATTCGTTTTGGAGCGTTTTTGTTCTGTTCTAAAGGACAGGTCGGTGAAATGTTTGAGCATTGTGTGAATTTACCCACTGGCTTTGTTTTAAGTCACGGTTAAAGTCACTGTTGTGCTGCTCTTTACCTTCTAAACCAGTTATGTAGGTAAAATTATTTGTTTTGTTCTGAATTGTTTTATGACCGTTGCTACTGACCTGGTCAGGTCAAGATAAGAAATGTTGATCTCAATGTGTATTTTAAAGGTAAATAAAAGTAATAAAGTGCATGTGTGCGTTTCAGTGATGCGGGTGAAGCGACGCTGCGGATCATCGGCGCAGCCTCTGAGGATGATGGTGTTTACACTTGCATTGCTACTAACGAACTTGGCACTGTGACGACGTCTGCTAGCCTCAGAGTTTTGGGTAAGAGTGCAGAAAGATCACAAAGAATGCACTCACGTGTTTGACAACTGTGGAGTTAAGTTGACTCTCGTCTTTTCTAGCTGTGTCCACTGATGGGCGCCGAGTCAGCTGGAAGGATAACTTTGAGTCTCACTACACTGAGGTGGCTGAACTTGGAAGGTAACAGACTCACTGATTTATTTCCATCAGCATACTCTGATCAACCCCCACCTAACAAACACCGCTCTGACCCTTCACAGCATCAACACATTAGGGTTGGTTGTAGTTTGGTTGTAATAGTAATATTTCATCCCAGGTTTTCTAAAAATAATGTCAGAGTACTGAGTGCAGTCATTCTATATGACCAAAGCATCGTCCATGTGGACCTGAGGCCAACAAAGACCCTAACAACCTTCAGGAGGCAGGGACTGTGCACGCAGCAGCTATCAGAAAGAAACAACAGTTAACAGCTTCAAACTCCAGATATTTCAGTTTGTTTTGAGAAAGTTTTCTGAATGAGAAGAGAAAAATGTTCAAAAGACACTGCTTTCACATGCACTTACCAGAACCACCATGCCCTGGAGGACCAACGCTCTGCACAGAAATTCAACAAAAACAAGAACGTAGTAATAAATCCGATAAGGTGGATTGTGTAACCAGGTTTCTGTGTGAAGAACGCACTTCCTATGTGTCTCTGGAGCAGGGCTCCCCAACCGGTTTTGCACCACGGTCCTGTGTTCTGGTTTATAGTGTTTTACATAACAAAACACTATAAACCAGACCATAAATTCAGGTCTCTCTTGTAAATGAGTCTTCAGTGGGATTAACCTTTAAAGATTGACTGAATGATTATCTGTCACCTAAATATAATTGTAGTTTTATATTTTGTAATTTCAAAAAGGCCTGATAAACAATAAATCAATTAATCGCATGATAAATGAAAATTATCAACCACATTTTCATTTATCAGCTTTATCGTTTCTTCGCTTGTCTTTCTACTGAAGACACTGGATGACAAAAAGCTCAACTCTTCACTGACTCCTCCCTTTCTCTTTTCTCTTCTTTTGGGCGGCTGTGGCTGAGTGGTTAGAACAGTCGTCCTCCAATGCGAGAGTTGGGGGTTCAAATCCACCAGCAGTCACATGTCGAAGTGTCCCTGGGCAAGACACTGAACCCCTCATAGCCTCTGATGTGTGTCCCATCGGTGTATGAACGTGATCTAAAGATCTGATTAGTCTCTTTAGAATGATTTGTTCAATTATCTTTGTATAGATCTAGTAGAGTGCTGCATGAATGGGTAAATGAGGACACAAATTGTTGTGTAAAGCGCTTTGATTATCTTGAAATAAGATAGAAAGGCGCTATATAAGTACAGTCCATTTAACATTTAAAATCCATTTTAACCGTCCAAAATCGCGTTTTTGGATCGTTAAAAGCAGCTAAACTGAGAAGCTAAGCTACAAGCTAAGCTAACAGGCCGACCTTGGGAAAAAACCTCTGTCTTGTTGAAGCTCCAAAATTCATGGTTAAAACCCGTGCCTTCGTGTAAAAAGTTGTTTTTCTCTGCAAAAAGAAGCTGAGAACTTGTTTATTGATTGTTATCAAAAGCTTTGCTTGAAAAATGCTATGTTGAAGAGCTCAAACCACACCGAGCGTCCACCATTTTGAGAACCAAAAAAAAACCAGGAACAAGAGCCAGCCCATGTCACATCAAGGGGCCTCCCTCCCATTTTACTTAGAGACACGCTGCTCGCTCCCTCTCTATCCATCCTTTGGTTCAAACAGTCTTATACTGCCATCTGCTGGTCAAAAAATGTACTACACACAAAAATAACCAGCATTTTTTTTTCTTAAATTTGACAATAATTACTAATTATTGTCAAATTTCAAACTATATTATCGTTTGTCACAACAGTTTCTGATACAATTAATCGCCCAGCAACATTTGTTATTGTGACAGGCCTAATGCTGACTATTGTAAATAGAAAACAAAATCAAAATAAAACTTTTTAATCTTTCTGTGCAGCTCTGTAAAAAAACAAAAAAGTATTTGGGGCCCCTTGTTATAGAAGAAACTATTTTAAAACTAAAAGGAGTGCGTCGCTCTTCTGTTCATCAGATCTCGTAGTTGTTTATCTCCACCCACAGTGGTTTTAATGTTATGGCTGAATCATAATGTAGATTTCTTTCCATTTTTCAAAGCTATAAAACTTGCAGGATGTTGAATGAATGTTTAGATCGTCACCGTGGCGTCCTCAGCTATCTGACCGTTTCTTCTCATCAGGGGTCGTTTCTCCGTCGTCAAGCGCTGCGATCACCGCGGCACCAAACGTACGGTCGCCGTTAAACACGTGAACAAGAAGCTGATGAAGAGAGACCGGGTGACCCAGGAGCTCAACCTGCTGCAGAGGCTCCAGCACCCGCACCTCGTGAGCCTGGTCGACACGTTTGAAACCTCCAGCAGCTACGCTCTGGTCCTGGAGATGTAAGTACACCACGCCTGGAGAAATTCAGCTGTCCAACATCTGCGCCGGTCTCCTGACGTTCGCCTCGTGTTTCAGGGCTGAGCAGGGCCGACTGCTTGACTACATCGTTAGCTGGGGGAATCTGACAGAAGAGAAGGTCGCCTGCTACCTGAGGAACGTTTTAGAAGCTTTACATTACTTGCACAACTGCAGAATTGTACATCTGGATGTAAAAGTAAGTAGCTGTGCGCCACATTTGCACTTGTCTCTCTGTATCTTTCTACACAGTAGTCCCTCGCTACTTCACAGTTCGACTTTCGTGGACTCACTCTGTCGCGGTTTTTCAAAATAAGATTGGACATGACACACAATTGGGATTTTTTTATTTAAAATAAATTATTTTAAATTATTTAGCACCTGTGTGCAGCCCAGAGGTGCAAGAGGAAGCTTCTCCGAGAGCGCTGGCAGGTGGAAGAGAGAGCAGAGATCATGACATGCTGTGCTCTTTTAGAGCGTTTAGAGTGTAGAAACTTGTTAGGAACATTGCAAGAGTGTGGGAAGGGTTTAAAATACCTTTGTATATACTGTATATAAATACTAAAACTACTACTTATTACTACAGCAAATACTATAATAAACTACTACTTACTGGTACTTCTACTACTTGTGTACATAATTTCGTTCCATATTATGTACCACATAAGTTGGTAATGACAGTAAAGTTTACTTTGAACTTGTATCCCTACTTCGCGGTTTTTCACTTATGGTGGGGGGGCGTGGTCCCAAACCCCCGTGATAAACGAGGGACTACTGTACGTCTGCATGTATAAGGTATTTCGGGACGTTGTTCATCGTGTTAGCATGCAAGTCACAGAAACAGCTGAATGTTTTTTTTAGCTTTATACCAGGGGTGCCCAATGTGTCGATGGCATGGCATTAAAAATAGAGACGTCATCCATCTGTGAAATGTGTCACTTGACTGACGGACAGGCAGCCAGTCTGAGCCCCATTTACACCACGTGAAACGTTCGGCTGTTCATTTACAGGCAACAGCCTCGTTCTCTCTGAAACTGAAGGTTTCTGAATCCAGGTCTCACAGTGGAGGTTTTCAGGGGAACCCCTTTAGCTAACAACCACATGAGTAGTAGAAGATACTTTCTAAAGCACTCTGCACCAAATAAAGCAAGAATGTGTGGATTGAGAAGATGTGCGTGCTCACTCAGCAGTCATGAGAGTGATACTGAAACGCTTTGAACCGAAGTCCAGCACCTTGAAGAGTGTAACCTTTTATGAGCACGAGCACGCAGCTTGGTGTGAATGTTCTTAGGGTTCATTATTTTACAACTTAGAAAGATGTTTAGTTGTATATTGCATTTTATTTGGCATCAAGTTTGGGCCAAATTTATTGAAACAAACGTTGCTTTTCTTTTACTGTTTTTCAACAAGTGACACGTGTCAGTTTTTGGAGCTTCAAACTGTTCACAGCTAACGATGGCTGGATCAGAGCGTGCGACTTTGAAAGTGTAGAGAGACAAAAACCACTGGTCACACCGTTGGACAAATCTGGTTTTAGAGCGCTCGGATAGTTTCTGATGTGGATCATCACACTCCTCCAGTTCTCTGGAGAACTCAACGAGCAGACCCGTCAGCACCGATGATGACATGGTGCTGACAGTGGTAACACTGAGACTCAGAGTAGTTTCCTCTGAGTCCTGGTGCGCCTGGTCCCTCGGGTCTGTTTGCAGTTTTTCGGTCTCAGACGTTGATCGTGGACTTTGTCTTTGCTCTCCTTGCAGCCTGAGAACCTGCTGGTCTCCCACAGCTCCAGCGGCCAGCCGACAGTCAAAGTCACGGACTTCGGTGACGCCGTGCAGCTGAACAGCGCCCACTACATCCACCCTCTCCTGGGCAGCCCCGAGTTCGCCCCCCCAGAGCTGGTTCTGGGAGATCCCGTGTCGCTGACCTCTGACCTGTGGAGTCTCGGCGTGGTGACCTACGTGCTGCTGAGCGGCGCCTCCCCCTTCCTGGACGAGAGCGCAGAGGAAACCTGCCTGAACATCTGCAAGTTGGACTTCAGCTTCCCCAGGGATTACTTCCAGGGGGTCAGCCAGGCGGCCCGGGACTTCGTGTGCCTGCTCCTCCGCTCCGACCCCAGCAGGAGACCACCGGCTGGGCTCTGCCTCCAGGAACCGTGGCTGCAGGCCGGCCCGGGTGACGGGCGGGTCCGAGCGGAGGGCTGCCTGGACACGGCGCGCCTCATTTCCTTCATCGACAGGAGGAAACACCAGACGGACGCGCGGCCCATCGGAGGCGTCCGGAGCTTCATTCAAAGTCGCCTTCAGTCTCCAGTTTGAGCGAGTCCCCCCACCCCCCGCTGATCTCGTCCTCCTTCCAGTCCGAAGCGATTCAGAGCCCTCTGAACATCCTGCCTCACCAACCTCGTCTGCTGCTGCTTGCTAGTTTTAACTCAAATTTTCTATCAAAACGAACAAAGTAACTTATTTTCCGTGGCGTCCAGCCCGAGTCGAGGAGCGCTCTGAGAACTTGGAGGAGCCGTGACGCCAGCAGAGCGAGCACTTCCTGTTTGTTTATCCCACCTGTCCGTCCTTTTCCACTGAAGCTGCGCTGGAGCTGCAGCACGGACGAGTCTGAGTCCACCTCTGCAAACAGAACAAACAAGGTTTCGTCCAACATTTACCCCCCCCCCCCCAACAGAGCGTGAGCTGCGCAGACACCGACATGTTTAAGCCTTACACTGAACAGACTCCTGCCTCGGTTCCCCTCGTTCTCGAGCTGCTTGTGGACGGCAGGAACACGAGACGTGGAGGCAGACTTCCTGTAAATGCACTCGTCGTACGTTTTCTTTGATTCTCACGTGCAATGTTGCGGCTTTAACATTTTATGCAACGTATTTATGAAGACGTCTGTCGTATGTGGAATAAATCTAGAGGAAAAGCATGTACTTGGTACTGCGAGCACTGCTGGTAGTTTGTGTTTGAGTGTTTATAAAAATAATACAAAGCCACGATCTACAATCAAAATACGCTTTGATCAAAAGTACCTGAACACTTTTTGTACTGTTTGCCTGTGTAGTATTGGTACACCAAAGTTGCTCTAGCTTTATAGTACTTAATAAAAACGTTGGATTGTGTTGTACGAGTTAGGGAACGGGTGAGCTTGTGAAATGATTGTTTACACGAGAAAAAACTTTGTTTGTTTGTCACTGGGCTGCGACCGTCGGGGACTAGTTGGAGACACAAGTGTGAGAAAATACTTTGTGTACTGGAAACACAAGAGACGCCTTCTGACACGATGAAAGTCACTTTTGGATGTTTCCTCCCAGAAACTGTTTGCAGTTTGTCGGCTCGCTGAACGACGAACACTTGAGTCTCCTTTACACAAAGGCTGGAGACGCATGAGGAGAACTCGCTCTTACATGATTCACTGAACGAGTTGAACGCACACGTTTTTAAATAAACACTCTGACTTTGTGTTTATGTACTTGTTGCCAAATTAATTTATCCACAAATTATTTTCCTAAATTAATTTTAAAAAATCATCCTGGAAACAGTTTATTTTATCCTCAAACGAAGAGTTGTAGGAAAGTCTGACAAACTGAACTCGGGTCCTCTGGACGCATAAAAAATAATTTTAAAAAATGGTGAAACGTTTCGTCTTTAATCCAAAGTACTTCCTCAGTCTGAGGAGCTGTATTCAGCTCAGTCTCTTAAATAGCACCTTCTCAGAGTGGATCAACCAGTTTTGCTGCTGACAACCAGAACCAGCTGATCACATGCTCAAGAAGGACCATCAGCCTAACAATGGATCATTAGCACACTGATGGCTGTTTACTGTTCACAGAGGGCTGAGTGATACTAGCAATCACAGCATTGTAAGAGAGGGACAGTTGAACCCGGAGGCCTCCACTCCTGTTTAATGATGGACGGTTTCTTTTCACAAAGATGGCCTCCTTTACTCCTCTCTCAAACCATCGTTCCTCTCTATCCAGGATGTGAACATCTTCATCCCTGAAAGAGTGACCGCTGGCCTGGAGATGAGTGTAGACCGCAGAGTCCTGGCCTGATGATGTTGATCTTCTGTGCTGGTCCATCCTTTTGGCCAGTGGCTGTTTAGTTTCCCCGATGTAAGACTGATCACCCTCCTGACACTGAACAGCATACACAACATTACTCTGTTTGTGCCGGGGGACTGGATCTTTGGGATGAACCAGTCTTTAATGTATTTTGGGGTTTAAAAGCCACTAGGACGTCCTGTCCTCTCAAACCCAGCCAGTTGAAGCAGATGGCGCTGGTCCTGAGTCTGGTTCTGTTGGAGGTTTCTTCCTGTTAAAGGGAGTTTTTTCTTTCCACTGTCGCCTCTGTGCTTGCTCAGGATGGAAGACTGCGACGAAGTGAAGATTCATCTTGTCTGCTGGATTGCTTAGATAGAGAACTTTACCAATTGGTTTTTATGTGAATGTTCCTGTTCAGTGCCGAGACAACTTTGTTGCGATTTAGCACTTTATAAATAAATAGAATAGAAATAAATGTCTGTTTCTCTGAAACTCGCACACATTGACCACTGGTCTGGGTTCCTCCTTTTCACCTGATGTCCTATTTGGGTTTCTTCTCTGCTTTCAGGAAGGCCCAGTTAGGGTCAGGTCATTGGGCTCATGGCCCTCCATCATGTGAGCAGCTAGTTCTGGAAGGTGCTGTTTATAAGACTGAGTTTGTTGCAGCTCCTCAGACTGAAGAATTATTTTGGATGAAAGATGAAATGTTTCAACAATATTTTTATTTTTAATCCATCCAGAGGACCTGACTTCACTTTGTTTGATTTTTCTACCTGATTACTGAGCAGCTTCAGGATATTTGTAGGAAAGCTTTGATAAAAAGATGCAAAGTTCAGTAAAAGGTTTTAAAAACGAGGCCCTCGTCTTCTTTTTATTCACATTAAAAGTGCAAACCATGACACTTTGGATACCTCAGTTTATTATTTTCTCCACTCTTTTGTTGCATTTGTTTGTTAAATTACATGTTTGCAACATAGTTTGTTTTTTATCTTCATTTTGTACAGATCATGTCCCTGTAAAGTCTCATTTTGCCATCAGATTAAACGTAAGGAACACGCCGTGGGCTTCACTTTATTTATTTTTCTGTCGTCATGAGTTCAGCCTCCTGCTGGAAGGTAAAGTTCAGCCCTGATCAAGATCTCACGTCTTTCATTAATAATTATTCTCTTATCCAGAGTAATCTCCCAGTCCCTGCCTGCCTGACCCACAGCATGATTCTGCCGCTGCCGTGTTTGTACCTGGATCTTCAGGAGACACAGCTGACCCGCAGAACTGAGGCCAGTTGAGATTTTCTTAATGTCCACGTGTAAAGTTAAAGTTTTAAGATCTTTATTGTCGTCAGAAAGGACATTTTAACATGTCTATGTGCTCCAGACTTCATGTCAAAGCTGTGATAATTACTAAAAGGCAAAAAAAAATTAAAAGTATTAAATGTTTGGCGAAGACAAAAGATTTGTAATTTAAAAATAAAAAAAATAACTAAAGTAGCTGATTAAATGCACATCAGTCGCCTCAGCTCAGTTTGTTTGTGTTTGCCGACGGTGATTAGCTGTAACACCCGTCCAGGGTGTCCCCCGCCCCTCGCACAGTGATTGCTGGACATGGGCACCAGCGACCCCCGTGACCCAAAATGGAAGAAGCGGGTGAAGATAATGGATGGATGGATTAGCTGTAGCGGCCATCTTGAATCTAGTTGGCTCCACAGGTTGATCAGATCTAGATGAACTTCCTGGATGTGTTGACCAACAGGAAGTCGTTCTTCCACTGAGCATCCGTCATGGCGAGTCGTTAGAAGTGGATACACAAACCAGCCACACATTAGTCAGCAGATAATTATATAATGTGTATATATATAAAATAATTAGTCAGAGCCATGTTTGGTTTATAGCAACTTTCTTTTATTCTAATTTCCAATAAACAGAGAATATATCAGTCCCTTATTTGTACAAAAATACCTGAACAGGATACATTGTAGATCCAGAAGAGACAGAGTGAAGCGATGTGGGGGTGTTGGATGACAATGATTATGGTTCGATTGGCTTTCCCTGAAATGTTTCTTGGACCTCAGCTTATGACGTTAACATGAACACTTCTGTTTGATTCGTTCACTCAGCTGAGAGCAGCCACTGGACGGACTAAAGACCAGTTTCCTGTCTAGAAAAAGATTCTTGCTGCTCCGTTGGGATGCACAGGATGTGAAACATTAATTCTGCACATTGAAGTGCTTGCACACATTAAAAAAGGCTAAATTCTCTCGAGCTACAGCGGATATTTCCACTTGCAGGAAGCTCCTAACGGTGTGAGCTCTGGGTGAAACCGCCCGGCTGTGCACCGTGTGGGAACCATTTGTTTTGAACTCCATCAGAACTGAGGACTCTGACAGCAGCTTATACACACAGGTGATGCTCAGGAGTTTGACACCTGACAAAAATCCAGTTTGATCTCAAAGAAAAAACAAAGTTCAACTTAATACTGTTTATACTTTCTGGCCTTAAAGTCAACAGAACAGTGAGCTGATGAAAGAAAAGACTTAAATTATAATTTTATGGCATTATGAGCAAAAAGCTGCGTACATAGTGATCTGTGACCTACATACAGTGTTAGATCTATTTCTGTTTCCAGAGCTTCACAAACGTACAACAGGTGACTTTATGCTGCTGGATCAAACATCTGGAGGTTTCTAAAGGTTTGCATGGCAGCAACGTGACTGGACGGTGCTTTGTCTCTGCTAACCCCTGCAGGAGCTCATGAAGACTGGGAACGTTGGCAACTCCCGTCTGCCTCCAACTCTTAACCAACAGACAACCTCTTTTTGTTTTTCCCGACTTTAAAGCATAGAACAGTCTGGCTGACACGCACGCACGCACACACACACACACGTAGCTTACAAGCTGGACACAGGTGGAAGAAAGGAGCGAGGCAGTTCAAGCATGATCCAGTTCTGGCCTGAGTGGAGGCACACTGTGTTGATAGTTTAGTTAAATAAAGGTGGAGGTGATCTGTGACAATGGTTATGAAGAAACAATATGTTACCTGTTGTAGATGGCTCTGAATGACCTCACTTTGGAGAAAGTTCCAGTCTGATGCAGCTGATGAGCTAACGGCTAGCTAAACTAAACAATCTTTTCTAGACCCGTTTATAAATCTCTCCAGTTCCTCAGAACTCCTTTATTTACACCTCGTTCACGGCGTCCTGCGTCCCTTCAAAAAGGATTTAACAACACTTTATAAATAGGTTTGTAAACACTTGATAAAGCATTAAGAATCTTGAATAAAACAAAGTTCATGCTCTGAAGCAGGCTCGTTATCTGCTGAACTTCAATGTGATTTAAAGCCTGTTGGTTCTTTTCCAAATTACTTTATACGACTAAACAAACTTTGTAACTATAAACAATACTTAAAAAATAATTTTCGCAGCTGACCTTGCCAAAGTCTGCTTCGGAGTCTGAACAGTGCTTAATAATCATTTAGGAAGTGCTTAATAATCATTTAGGAAGTGTTTAAAGTTCTGATTTATAAAGCATCAATGAATATAAATAGGGGAACTCTTATTAGGAGGGGGCACCTACAAGTTTAATGTTTAACAAGGGCTCTTACAGCTGCAGCAGCAGCTAGCTGTAGCACACTTGTTGCACA